ATCGCTGCAAACAAATTGCTCACTGCCAGAGCCAGGGCCAGATCCAGAGCCAGGGCTAGGGCCAGGGACTTCCAGAGTCTGCTGCTGAGCCCGCCAGTCCATGTGGGAGACGACACGCAGTCTGGAGATTCCTCCGACCCGGCGTTGGGGCCACAAGGAAAAAGGTGGAAGTCAAGATCGCGTAGAGGGTTTGCATATGTCAGCAGCTTGCTCAAAGCAAATGCCGCTGGGAGTTTCCCTTTTCGGCTGAGTTTTTAATTTATGTTATTGATGCGAAAGATGTATGGACTGCACTGGGAGAAATGTCTGTCTCTCTATCAAGCATTCCCACTCTTAGGCTTCGTGAATGAACCCGTCGTCCCTTGCCTGGATCTGCCCCAGCCGTCGCCAGTTGCTGGTTTATGGAAAACACTGCACAGGCAAGTGCAGATTCGAAATTTCGGTTAAGGTTGCACCTCGGCATTTTGCGTTAGTATTTAAACAACGAAAAAATGAAGAAAAAAGAGTCGAAATGAGTTACGGATTTGCAATCGCTTAACTTGAGTGCCAATCTGAGTCGGCACCAAACTTCAGTCGTATAAACAAATGAACATATGTAAAATCCATGCTCGGAACGACATCTTGGGGCTGACGCTGATGCTGATGTGTTTTACGACTTGACACAGAGTTTCAGAGGACTGCTGACGGACATGGACGGAGATGGTGTCTGAGGTGTCGGTATCTTGCAGTGACTGGACAAAGTGGCCGACAAAAGTCGGCCGCTGATCCGTGCGCACTCGAAGGTTGGCGGTTGGCGGTTGGCGGTCTTCGAGCTCGGAGCTGACCGAAATGGCTTTGAAGCGCACATTTGCCAAAGTGATCGTAAAAATGCCAAGCCAAATACCTTGGGCACGTCAAGCGCGGCAATTAAAATTGAACTTTTATGTTACAATGACATATAGCCCAGTCCCGTCCCGAGTTGGCCCACGGTGGAGCGCCTTAGCTTTCAAATGAGATGCTGATGGGTGGCGACGGAGTGGGGAGTGAGTGAAAAGGCCATGCGTGTGAACAGGCAAGATCAAAAGCTCAAGCCGCAGCAACGCACTTGCAACTGAGAAAAGGACGCAGACACAGTTTGAGATAGCGACAGAGAGAGAGAGAAAGAGAGAAAAACAAAGTCTTATTTTTTGACCGGACAATGCAAATGCCCAGGCCCAGGCCCAGACCCAGACCGGTCCTGGTCCGGGTTCCGTGCAGTTTTGTTTTTCACAATTTAATTGCAAATAAATTGAGTTTTTGGTACTTCATTTAAGCGAAACACGCTAAACTTTCCTGCTCTGGCGGATCCATCAAAGTCGCAAGAGGACGTCTGTTTTGCTCTCTCTCTCTCTCGCAGATCGCTTTTACAAATCCGACTGTATCCAAAAGATACAAAAAGCACATGTAACGAAATGACCAAATGAAATTGAAATTTATTCCAAACCATCTGCGGCTGCACCTTTCAAAATCTAAACTCACTCTGCAGCACTAGATGGTTGAACCCTTTCAAGAACCAGACCACAGGCTTCTGGCCATCATTTTTGTGTTCCTGGAACATGCTTCTTATTGCAATCCTTTACAATCTATCAATAAATACTTATCCGTTAGTCCTAGACTATAATGAAGTTCCGCAAAAAGATCCATCAAAACTCCGTTGGAAAACTGTCAACAGACGAACAAGAACCCGAAAGGATACAGTTGCAGCAGTAGCCAAGGACATGTTGACCAAACGGAAGGCAAAACAAACAGTTTGGCAGACCGACAAATATTGAACAATCACATATGACAGATCGCTCGACCATCTGGAAGGCTGGGCCTACAAGTGAAAACTGGGCCCTGGGCCCTGGGCACACACCCTGAAACACTTGGTTCAATGCAGTGGTCAGGCAGTTTTCACTCCTTCATGCTAAATTTGCGAGGCAAACAAACGCTGTCGTTGGTCCCGCCGGGCCCAGGCATGAGGCACCAGAGAGGACGGTGGACGGAGGACGGAGGACGAAGGTGTCACATCGGCAGGGGGCTTCGATGGACGGTGGCACAGCAAGCGTCAAGATCTGGGCAAGGACATTTAGCTACTCGTTTGTAGTCGATTCAGTAGTCACTAGCCCCAGACAATACCAGAGTCCCACTCAAAGTTAGAGTTCCATTCTGGGAAGCCATCACTACTCACAGATGATGATTTCCTTTGGAAGCACTCACGTTCCCCGGTCGAAGGAGTTCACACTCCGAGATCCAGTTACGAGAGAGGTTTACGATCTCGTCAGTTTGAATGAATTAGACTGTACTCACATTTCGCCCTTTTGCGGCCTCCTATAATGATCTATAGAACCATATCTTTTATGTCTTCTCAGCTTGGCGACACAATTTACAGCCCCTAGTAAATCTTCGGCTAGCATGTGATTCGATTCAGGGAAAAGAGCTGGCGTACAGTTTAGCACTGCGATTCAAAGCATTCACGAAATCCTGTCAGTAGCCCAGAATCAAGAAAGCATTTTCGAATTTTGTTTATGGCACCCTAATCGAAGGCTTTGTTTACGCAATATTAACTGGAAAGTGTCCCAAAGAGTGTTAATTGTCGTTTTCACACTTTTCGTTGCTGTTCGTAGCATTTCACATGTTTGCCTGTTTTATGATCCATTTTGTAATCTCAAGTATTCTATGAGCTGAAAATTCACTTATCTTTCCGATTCTTATTCAATCATTCTGAGAATTTTGTACTTTTTCAATTGCCTTTCGTTCTTCTTGTTCCATTGATATGCAAAACAATTTCCAAACATGAATTTTCTTCATCAAGACGCCACTCCTCAACAGGAAAGGAAGCCAAACTGCCACGCCCAAATACTAGTATATAGGCGGACTTCCGTTTCACAGGGCAATAAACAGAAGTCCTGCCCCAAGGCTCCTCCTTATCGAAATTTCTGACGCAGACGTTGCCACGCTTGAGGCGCTCCGGTAATTGAAAACTGTCAATACGCAAATTAAATAATTTGTCATGTGTATCGTGACCAAGTTTCTGTGGTTACGGCCAGAACATGGAGCGGCAGCAGTGTAGAGGAGGAGAAAACAAAATTCCTCATTCGGGAATGTCCTGTGCGGCTCATTTGCATGGCCATAGCCATTGTAGATGACGCATGCGAGTGCACTCAAGTGGTACTTGCAGAACGCTTCATTAGCAACGAGTTTTTTGTTCTGATTATCGCATGATGCAAGACAGTAGAGGGCCTGGAGCCTAGAGCCTAGACCAGCTGAGTATTTCAATCCTCGCCCCTGGTTTCCACTCGATGACCAGCGGTTGTTTCCTCAGCCTTGTTGCCTGGCCGGCTTATTCCGCTCAATGGAATTTATGGAGGAAATATTGCTGCTGAAATATCATTATAGATCTGAGATTTGCATGCGGCCCAACTCCACACAGACCCACGCCGGCATACCACACACATACGCATGCACATACAAAGGCAAAGGGCAGCCATTTTGTCGCTCTCTCTCTCGAAATTTTCCTCTGTCCCTCTCTGCCCTTTCCGAAGCCAGATGCAGGCGGCATGTGCGTATCCTTAATATGCGTAAACTTCACGCTTAATTCCTCATAGTAGATGATGTCCTTTCGCTGTTTTCGCTTTTGTTCGTTGGTTTTTCAATTTTTCAATTTTTCAAAAACTGCAGACAGTCCGAACCGTACCAGGTGTGACTTTCGTTAGCTATAATGGATGTTGATAAATTTTTATGTTTGTATATCGGTAAATGACTTTGGCAGTCGAGGGAAGGATATGTGAAATCCACTCATCCGGGTAGGATTAGGGTCGTGCTTGGTATAGGGATTGGCTCCCCATATCTAGCAATCATGGATGCACGGATGATGGAACGTGGATACAACGTACTTTGTTCTAATGAGCTTGAAGTAAAGTAGCGACCGTATCAACGGTCATTATTACATTGCATATCGTAAATCAAATGCAGCTTCATCTGCCAACCGAACAGAGGGAACAACATTCACATGATTTCATCGTAAACAAGCATGAACTTGCGTTGTATCTCAGCGAATGTTAGCTGGAGAGGATAAGCCAAGAAGCCAAAGGAAACCCGCACCGAACCCCCATTAAGTTTGATGACAAAGACCTAGCCCAACTGGGCCGGCAGGGGGAAGAGACGAAGGAGACGGAGGTCGAGGTGGAAAAGTGGGATAAACATACATTGAGAACACACGACAACGACACGACACACAACTGTGGGTGCTAAAACTGCCAAAACCGGAACGATTGATAATGCGTCCTGGTCTCTGCCTGGGCCTGGTCTATGTCCTGTGCCGACGGCAGCCTTCACGCTTTAATTGGCTGCCAGTGACAAAATAAAGAGTCATACAATTCACACAAATGTGTCGTCGGCCGTGACAGGAGCGGAGCGGAGCCCAGCCCGAGCCCGAGCCCGAGTCCGGGGGACAGCTGCACAGCCAAAATGATCGGCCGAATGGCAGCGGGCAGGGGGTTGATGTTTACGTGCGACGTGCGGATGGATAGCGGATATCGTACAATATCAAACGCGAGGCGAGCTCAGCCCTGAACCGCCCTGAGCGAGCACAGCCAATCAGAACTCTCTCGAGGCGTGGCATTGCAGCTCGATTAAAGCGCCAGAGAGACGAGAGAAGACGAGTTCCGCGCTCCCTCGGCTCTCGCGCGGCACTCTGTCTTCCCTCTCGGTCGCACACTGAAGTTTTTTGATCGTTGCCATATTGGTGTGGCGCCCGAGCAGGCAGCAAACACAGAAAGGGCGGGCGCGAAAGCTACTCTCGCTCTCCCTCTCCCTCCTCGCCAGCATCTCCATCTCCATCGCCGTCCGCACCAGTGGTGGTGGGAAACCAGTTTATGGAGCGATCTCATTGTTCGTCCGTCTCCCCGTTGTAGTCGTCGACGTCACCCGGTCCCGGCCGGCCTCCGTTAATTTATGCTCGCGCTTCTCTTTAGTTGCTTTGCAAGTCTCGTGCTGTTTGATCGCCGAAGCGCGCGTAATTCCAAGAAAAACTCACGTTGCGCCGAGCTGGATTGTCGCCGCTATCACGCTATCACGCTATCGGGCTGAGAGTCGCAAACTTCCGTCGGAACGGGAATCGGAAATCGCATGTGGCAGACTTCTTTCTTGTTGACGCGGTGGAGCCCTTCGGCCACTTCGCATGTGATAGCCAGTTTGATTGTGCAGTGCAACATCGATTTAGTTAATAAGTTATTCTATAAGCAGTTGGATTTGGACAATTCGGACAAATATGGATATGTCTAGCGCCAACTCCCTGCGGCCACTATTTTCGGGCTATCCCTTTCAAGGTAAGCTAACGGGCGGGCTTATCACCTACCAAAAGAAGTTAAGTCCCCTTCGACACACTCTAAATATAGCTTGGACATATTCGTAGTCTCTTCCACATTTAATGGGATTACAATCAAGTAATGGCAAATGGTATTTTGCCAAAAGACTGAACTCCGCTTTGTACATATACTTTATGTTTGGCTCTTTCCCATTTACAGGACAAGGTCGTGTTAACCAACTCGGAGGAGTCTTTATCAATGGTCGACCGCTGCCCAATCACATTCGCCTGAAGATCGTGGAAATGGCGGCCAGCGGAGTTCGTCCCTGTGTGATTTCCCGCCAGTTGCGCGTCTCCCATGGATGTGTGTCGAAGATTCTAAACCGTTATCAGGAGACGGGCTCGATTAGGCCCGGGGTCATAGGCGGATCGAAGCCCAAGGTGACCTCGCCCGAGATCGAGACACGAATCGATGAGCTGCGAAAGGAGAATCCCGGCATATTCAGCTGGGAGATACGAGAGAAGCTGATCAAGGTGAGTTACACGGTGGCTTACAGACACCTGCACCTGCACGACAACAGGAGGCAATAAAATGTGCCAAAACAAAGGGTCCAAGGACTTTTGCTAGGCCCACCAGTAGCCATAACCGCATGGTCGCATGGGCATTATGTGCGGACAAGAGATGCACCAATACCAACTGATTCGCAAAGACCATTCGCCGGTCGTTTACTTCCGTTTTCCGAAAAGTCACGTGGCAGACTCGGGCCGCCCGCTGTCTTTGTTGTGGCACGTTGCCGGTGACATTTCTCCGGTCCGGTCTTTGCATATGCCGGCTGCTGGCACAAATCGGCCCCAGGATCGATTTTGAACTTGGCCGCCCATTGACAAATTTGTTGTACAACGGCGACGACAAATTTTCGCATGCCACCCATACCGTTAAGAAATCGATTAAACCATAAAGAGTAGGCTGTGGCAGATGCTGTCGCTGTTTTTGTTGTCTCCTTGTCGGCATCGATTGCCTTTCATCCTGGAGGCAACAAGGTGCGAAAAAAATACATATATTTATCTTGCCTTTTGGCTTTGAGGCATCGCTCCAAACTTCCGGCCTGACGCGCCAAGAAAAAAGGAATCAGGTAATATCAGGCTGTAGTCAACCTACTTAACGCTGCCTACACTCAAAGAAAATGGGTTTGATTTGGGATTTTTCTTTACCATCAGTATGATGTTTCCGTCCTTCGACCCCTCAGTGTACCTTTGGCAGAGTATTCGCTTATTTGTGATCTCAGCCCACCAGCTAAACTTAATTCATGTCACGTTTTAATGGACGATTTAAAAATCAAACAAAAAACTTGTACGGAGTGGAGTGTCTGTCCCCTTGCCCTCTTTCAACCATTTCACACAGTCAACCTGAAAATCAAAGCCGAAAAAACCCAAACACCTCGTCACAATCGCACATGCTCTGCCATTATTTTTCCACAAATTAGCGTTAAACTTTATGGAAGATAAAAAACACACACAGAAACACACTGGAATCAGGCAAGCGGAAAGTAAAGTCAATGGAGACGGAGCTGAACCTACGCCAATATAGCTTATTCATGGACATCCGACTCCCAGAGCAGACCAACTGTCTCGATGTTTGGCAGGGCACCACCTCGGCACCACCATTTGGATGGATGGACGGATGGCTGGATGGCCCGATGACGGCTGTCTTGGAGTCGTTTTTCGCCTTTCGGCAAGTTTATATGCACAGAGGATGAGAGATACATTGTATTCGCATATTCATGCGCCAGCCCCTTTTGGCGGCTCATGCCGGCCTGCTCTTTATTTGAAGCCGCAATTAGTTACACTTTATGTGGCGATACCGATTCGGGCGACCATCGATATGATCGGGCCAGATATCGCTCACGCACACAATTGCATCGCTGGTTGCATCACTGCACCGTCCTGTATCTGTCAGATGCACCCTGTGTGTGCAGTAGGCGTAAAAACAGCCTCCAGGTGCGCTTCACGCTGAATTAGAATGCGCTATCGGCATCTCTCTTGCTCTATAACTTATCTCGATTTCTCTCTTTGTGTGCCCACCCCTCCTGTCCCTGTCTGCACAGATACCATTTGGTTGGAGGCAGTGTATCCATCGATGATCGTGATTGATTTTACTGGTAGTTACTGCCCATTGGTACTGTCGTGGAAGTGCTCGCATGATGAACGCAAATGGTTCCCCACTCTCGCTGACAAACTGCTGACTTCCAAGAAACTCGATTAATTAAAAACTACAGACTACACCTGTCACTCAAGCCAGACGCTAGCGCAGCCCCAAAAAAATACGATCGCAGAAGGGAATTAATACACAAATATGTAGATAAATATTTCTATACGATATGCTCTCGAATAAAGCGCAGTCAAGTGTCAATCCAACTGTCAACTAATTAATTAAATTTCAATTGAAACGGCTAAGGCAGAATCCAAGAGAGAAGGCAAAAATGTATCTCGCAGTCGGGGGCTCGCTCGAGTTGGAGTTCGAGATCGAGATCGGGACCGAGATCGGTTTGGAATGGACTTGGGCTTGGGTTTGAGTTTGGAATTGAAATTGGGTTTGGGATCCAGTTGTCAGTTGCTACAAGATAAGCCGTCACACATTCCAGCTGGACAACCGGCTCGGTACGGTACGATAGGGTAGGGTAGGGTAGGGTAGGGTAGGGTAGGGTAGGCCCCAGTGGCAGCCCCACCACACTCATAAATAACGTAACAAAGTCCAGTTGAAAATCAAAACATATTTCTGTTGTTGTATTTATGACACATTCAATAGAAATAGGAGTCGGTAGCCAGAGCTAACCAGACAGCCCACGGCGTCCGAAGCTACATACTCGTACAACCCGTACCCGTGCCCCGTTCCAGACTGGACAAAATGTCAGTTTCGGTTTCCGTGCTCGGCGTCTTGTCTTGTCTGGTCTGGTCTGGTCCCTGTCTTGTCTATGAGGTGCCAGTTATGCCACCTTTGTTCGTTCAAGAATTAGCCACAAACCCCAAGAGAGAGAGAGCGAGAGAGTCATGATCATTTCGTCAGTGGAAAAATGTTATTATTAATCATGAAAATGTTTGCGGCACATGCCACTCCATTTGAGCAACCGACTGGCCCCAGACCTCCTGTAACCAGTAACTAGTAACCAGTATCCAAGTACCACGAATCCAGTACTGAGTCGGTTCTCCCTCCCGATCTGATGGCGCGTCGCACAGTTGCGCTTCGTCTTGCAGCGATTAGCTGCAACCTGGAGTTAAGGTTGAAGTCGACATGTTGCTCTAATGAAAACTGACAGCTTTCGGTGGCTTAGAATGAGGAATTGGTTTGTTCCGATTTCGAATTGATTTCGGGATCTGTTTTAGGGTTTCCCGAACGAAAGGGGTAGTATCAGATTAGTTATTCTGCGCGATAATATATTGTCTGTAGGTATTTCGAACAGAAACTTGCGTACTACTCAAGGAAATCATGTCAAGGAAGGAAAGAGCTTAACTTTGCACCTGAGAGATTAACTTCACGTCGGCCCATCTCCCGCCGCAATTTGTTTTCCCGCCGCATTCTTCTCTCTACAGTTTCATCAAATCTCAACACTTGTCTCGCCTCTTAATGCAACACGCGACACGGGCAGGGCAAACGGCATCGGGTAGAGATAAATTCTCATGCCTGGCCTAACTCTGGGCCTGACATTTCCCTAATTGGATTACACGACCAAGATGGGGCGAAGTGGAGGGGCGAGAAAGACAGCTACATGAAAATTGTCCAAACACAAAGAGCTGCCCAGCAACTGTAGCATTAATGTCAGAGCTCTCAAAATTGTACCCAAGATGTCCAGCATCTGTTCAGGGTATACCCTACAGGCATATATTATCGGGTCAACAGTAGCCAAACAAAAAAGTAGCTATTTAGCCGGCCTTCGCTTATCTTAATTGGATTTGATTTGTGTGATTTACGATGCTCATTATGGATCGAACCTTAAACTCACGTCTAATCGGAAAACTTTATTTGTTGAATACAGGAGGGCTTCGCGGATCCACCATCAACGTCGTCCATCAGCCGCCTGTTGAGGGGAAACGATCGCGGCAGCGAAGACGGTCGCAAGGACTACACCATACACGGAATACTTGGCGGTAAGCAAGAGCAATATTGCCATCATAGGGAAACCAATTTGGAAATGTGGATGGGTAAACCAACGATCATTTATTTGATAATTTCGGAAAATCATCATCAAATCATTTGTAGCTCAAATCAACAAACTTGTGTCGGCAACATTGCTTTGATCGTCTTAGAACGAGCGACTTAAACTTAACTCAAAGCCGCTCAGAAAGGGGAAAAATACTACAATAGACCGCTCTGCGGTCATACGATAACGATCTCGATCGCTTGTTGGCTATACACAACCGAAATAGGTATAGATGATGACACCTGAGAATCAAAAGTACACAAGATTCCAGATTCTTTTTCCACAGCACAGCACAACCCAAGCCCAGACCCAGACCAAGACCGAGTTCCAGTGCCAGATCCAGTCCCAGTCCCAGTCCCAGCTAATAACACCGCTTTCCACTGCCTTGCCTTGCGTGAGATCTCATCTTTCTCTCCCTTTCCGACCCTCACACTTTGAGCGGAGCCAATAATCACACTAAATATGCAAAGTCATTCGATAAACGATCGGCGGGGTCAAAGCGGTGTCTGTTGGTTGGAAATTGAGTAGAAAATTATTTTGTATGATCTCCCGATGCATCATTAGACGAACACTGTAACACTGAGAGCACTGTACTTGGATGATTTTTTTTCATTAGGGCCGGCAGCCGAAATTTTGTGATCAGGTTTTTGGCAATTGTTAATTTTGCCGACACTCTGTGATATTTTGCCGGCCTCGTCCGCCTGTCACAACAGAGATCCCGCCTCACAATGGCTCAGAGGGCGAAACCCTTAGTTGTCACCTTGACGTTGTCCTTCTGAATGAGTGCAGGCCGCATACATGCAATGAATAACACACAAATTTTAAGGGGTTTCCGTTGCCTTGAAACGAAGTCATGTTGTTTATATTTCCTTTTTGGTGTTTGCTAAATGCCGAGAGAAATGCTCGGATGTGCCGGTGGGATATCAGGTGGATTTCTGAGCGAAGGTTGGCTAAAATTTGAATTTAAGGAATGACCTGATAGTCTGACCTCCACACTTTACGTTCAAGTTGAATCTCTTCTCTCAGCACCTGTTTACATAACCCATTTGAGTTTTCGCCGAGCCCGACGAGCATTAATTATGTACTAAGCATAATCTATATAACCCTGCCGCAAAGTGGTCATTATGTTGTCGAAGCGTATAATAAGCTCACGCCCTCCCATCATAATTGATTCCTCTGTCCGCATCTCCATCCATGGGGATAGCCAGGCCTCGGACCATTATTACGGCCGTCCAGCAAGAGTAGCCATCTACCCGTCCTCGAGCCACAATCAGAACCCCAATCGGAACCGGCATCGCAGAGACACATCCGAAGATGCAACTGGCCAGACCCCGACTGCGTTGGAATCTCTGGGATCTGGGACCTGGGATAACAAAGTCGGTGCCGGTGCCTGTAATCAACGCCTTCTTTGCCGGCGACTGAATGATTTCTGGCCCTCACCTGAAGACACCGAAAATAAAATTATGCATTATTAAATATGTTGCTTCATCTTTTATTTCGCATATAATTTCGTTTGATTTGGATTTTGTACAATTTATAGGGACACGTCCGTGTCCCAGACCCAGGCCCAGACCCAGACCCAGACCCAGACCCAGACCCAGCCCCTGCCTGCACTGCCCCTTCCACAGCCCCCACCAACGACCATCTCCCCGGCTTTGATGGCTCATTGTCGCTGACTGCGTTTATCGGCGGCTCGCTTTCATCTTTCGTAAACCGAAAAAACTATGAAAAGACTTGGAGTATCAAATAATAGCTTAAAATACCCCAAAAAAAGAAAATTGTGCGGGGGCTACCGAAGAAACGTCGTTGACAAAAATGCTGTTATAATTTTTGATGAACAAAAAAAAATCAATACATTTGTGAGCAAAGCTAACAAAATGAGTCAACTAAACACGTTATTAAGAGCATTGATGGCGTTTGAGAGATGCCGATACAGCCCTCATCTAAATACCAATTAAAATAGAATTAAGTCGGAAAAGCTCTGGCAGAAGGTAAGACATCAATTCACTAATGCCCAACCTGATTATTATACGATGTTCGAGCAGGCCTCCACAGGAGTGTCGCACAGCCATTTATCTGCCTTGTAATTCAGCTCCAACTAAAGGTAGATTTTTCCCTGGACTTCTCGGAAAACTGCAGCTAGATAAATATTGATTGCCCGCCCCACTGAAGGCACAACAAAATAAAAAAAGACCGCTAAACGTTCGCTACGCCCTCGCCAAATATCCCGACAATAGCCAAGCTGTCTGATGTCTGATCTCGAAGCCAAGAGTCAAAGTCAAGCCGCTTGCCTTATAAATACGCGTGCGATTTGTATTATTTAGCCCTGGGAATGCACAGCTCGACCCACTCAAAGAAAGAAAGTAGGGCCACACAAAGAAATCAAATGCCAAAACACCGACAAGAAGTCAACGATAGAAAGAAAGAAGAAAAGACGAGGCCAACACTTGTGGCAATTAGTGGATAGAACAATGGCATCAAGAGAGGCCGCCGTGGGAATGGCCAGGGATATTTACAAAATATATTGTACATGCCCCCACCTCGATGGCCAGGACCAGACAAAGCGGCAGCGGTGCGAGGGCAGATCCTGCCCAAGTCCAAATACAAACAGGTTCAATTATTTGCGAAAAAAACGAAAAAACTTCGAGATCGCAATGGCTGACGAAGACAAACGGACGCCGCCCAAGGGAATCCAGTTATAGGAGCTCGGGTCACACCTTCTCTAATGCATCGCCACGGGAAGCCGAGGGAGACGGCAAGAGAGTGCCGCATTCTTGCAGTGTCACATGACAAATGATTGCACGGCGAGGAAGAGCTCGGCTACTCGGTGATTGCGCAAAAATATCCTGCTCCTGCTCCTGCTCCGGCTCCGGCTCTACCATATGCATGTGCGTGCGGTCTATAACCTCGCAGCACTGACCCTGCCCCTGCCCCCGTCCGTGTCTCTGCCGCTCCTCGCTCACACATATGGCCTGGTCCCGTGGTTGGCTCATTTGTTCGACTTGAAAACCCATTAAAATCGTTCATGCCCGAAAAAAGTGTCAACGTAACAAAAGCATCGCTTTGACTTCAAATGCACCGATCTTGGGCGGCATCTTTAATGCCCACCAGGGTGTCCTGGTGCGTTCTGTTTGATCTCATTGTGGCCCTGATCATCTCAGCCCTGACTCTTGTCTGTTTTCTGCCGCCGTCGGAGCACTGTTGCGCCCCCCCGAGTCCATCTTTCGTGTTGATGAGTTACAAAATATTTTATTAACGCATTATCACACTTTAACCGACTTCTCTGTGTCTCTCTCTCTCTTTCACTCTTCCCTGTCTGTCTCTTTCTCCTTGAAACTCACAATTGTGCTCTTTTCCACTCTCTTTCTGTTGGTGCCTTTGCCGAGCTGGGCATCATCTGGGATTTGTTTTGATCAAGTGTTTGTATTCATTGTTATTTAAATTAGTTTCATTCTGACCCCAAGTTCGAATCCCTTGACGATTTCGTTTCTTCCGCCGCCGGATTATGATTATAACTAATTTTGGTCTCATATTCCTCTCCGCCATCTCGAAGGCTCGACGACTTTTGTAAATTAGTTTAAATGGGCTTCTGATGGGAGTATTTAGTTGTCCACTCGTTTGTATTTCGATTTTGGGTTCGAATCGGAATGGCTTTCCCATTGCGAGGGCGTTGAGAGCATAAATTGTGGATACTTTATATCGGTGGAATATTAATATATGCGATGCAAGCATTTAAACAATAATTGGATGTTCATATAATTATACGGTCTTCAGAACTAAGCCGACTGTCTATTCGAACCTCTTCTTCATTTTGAAACTATACTCGTGTTATAATTTTTATACATTTCAAATATTCCACATAAAATACACAGGTACATACTCTCAACTCAGCTCAGTTCAGAGCTTGTTAAACATAAAAGCGGCATAAGTTTTAAAGCTCCTGTAATCCTTTTGCTGACATGAATCTGAAGACTTAAAAAATAACATATCCGACTGAACTGAACCGAGCTGAGTTGGGTCCAGTTGGCCAGCCCCTTCAGCCATGCCCAAGTCGATGTCGTATGGCCCCAAGATTTTTCAAATCCCAAATCTGATGTTCGGCGACAGAGCAGGCGCGTGTCTCGCACTGACAGCTGACAGTTTGGGCCCCTCTCCTCGGCGGGGCAGTGTAGGAAACGTTATTTAAGAATTGTTTTTCAATTGCAGTTTGAATCTGCCTGCAGCCCCAAAGACTTCCCCATCAGATGCACCAATTTAAATGGTAGGGCCAGTGTCAAGATTGTTGATTGATGATATGAGCTCGAATAAGATAATAGCCAAAGGCAGATTGATCTTTGCCACAACTCCGACAAAGGTCATGCAGCAATTGTCCATCAGAAGTGATTGGTCTCCAATAATAGAAATGAAAAAATGTAAAATAATGTAAAAAGTTGCCCTGCCCGTTTGCCTTTTGCACTTTGCCTCAAGTTCATTTTATTCGACCACACAAGGCAGCAGGAGGCAAGTCGATTCCCAAAGGTCCCTCTGAAGTACTACCTGCTGCCTGCTGTTCGACAAAACGCAACTTGAAATGACGCGTCGTCAAACATGATGGAATACCCTTCCCCGATTACGAAGCCGCAGTAATTTATCAAAGCTTGGAGCCAGAGCCCCCAGTCGATTTTCCACTGGGTCCAGTCACCAAAAAGAAAGCCCCCAAAACCGAAAGACAGAGCAGCACCACGGTAGCCAGAGTGGTGCCGGAGCCGTTGTCGATGCTGGTGCCAAAATGATAAAAGGGCCTTTGTTTCGAGCGCTGCTGGACTTTTTCCTCTCTCTGGTGGGCTCTCTTTTCGGTATACGAATACGAGCATTATTAATGGGCAAGTAACAACAAATTAATAAAATGTTTAACATTAAAAAACTAATTGATTTTTCTACCTTCCACCTTTGCTTTGGTGTCGTTTCCCGAACCCGTTTCTCTTTGTCTTCTTTCCATGGCTTCTCCATGGCTTCCATGGCTTCTGCATCGACTCCGCTTATTTCGTATAATTAAGTTTTATTGTTTCGTGTGTTGAAAGATTAATAGTGCGACTTCTGTATTTTATCATTCATATCCATTCGTTTCTACTTAATACGCATGTGAACTTTTCGATTTCTTTATTGGACCAGACACCAGAGACCAAAAACCAGAGACCTCACTAAACTGTGGGCGTTCCGCCATCCGAGGTTTCTTCGCTTCGGCTGTTTCGCTTAAGGGGATTTTGGGTGTGGCCCGTGAGGGTCCGAGATGCTTATAAGCGTGCCGAAAGTTGGTTTAAAATTTTGGGATTGTCCCGTACAAATATAGCCCTTACTTAGCTTTTGCAAAGCTAAAACATTAGGAATTGAAAAGGTACGAAATTTGATTATATCAAATCAAAGAGACAGTTAAGTAGATCTTGAAATGATTCCATCCTATCGAAAGATCTCACTTGTACTTCCCATTTTCTATAAATTCCTATTAATCACATGTCTAAGGATACAGGAAATCCACCTTAGCTGTTGAGTCAATTAATAATTTCACTTGACAGACCGGAAACGATTGACTCGAACAGTGACCGCAACAGAAAAAGGTCAGCGTTCTTAGGGATCCCCACAATCACAAGCACACAATATGAACATTAAAATACGTTTGCATTCAGGTCGAAGGACGATCCATTTGATCGGACTAAAAGGTATTTCCGCTCATCAGCACCCACACGCATAAAATACACCGCAGGATTGTGGGAAAGACATGCACGGCCCTGTCCCTGTTATGTTCGTTCTGAAAAATGAGCTTGTGATCTTGTTGAATAATTCCGATTATGGGCGATAGTTTCTCCGCTTTGATGCTAAGCCGGCACGGCATGGCTGTGACTCCGCCCCGCCTTGAAAACTCAGTTTATTGTGTAATGAGCTCTCCAAATAATTTGGCATGGCTCTGGTGTGCCACACGCCGCGCTTCAAGCCCGATTGCCAATGACGGCGGCGTTTTCCCTTTCGTAAACAGATGCCGAAGTTAATTGGCGCACTCCTCCATGGCCGCTGACAACTTGCCGATCATCTTCTTGTGTAATATGATATATTGTGTCACTTGTCAAGTGCTGTGACTTTTACGAGCTGCCTGCGGATACGCCCTCGCCACAGTCGCGGCAGCTCGCCCTCCACCCTCCGATCGCGTCATCTTCTGTGTGCTGCCTTCTGTGTGATTGTCGGTGGCTTTTGACAGATTTGTTGCGCTCCCTAACATTTCAATTAATATGCAATGGCGCGCATTGAACGTCGACTCCCATTTATATGGAGCTATGACTTTGTACTGATCTTTGTGCTGGGGGTCACACGATCGCCGCGATCCACGTCGGTGGCCCTACGCGGTGGATCCGAAGATCGAACCACACCACATATATGATTCAGTTTCGTCGGAAGACAATGGCCGTGGAGAATCGTATGGCTTCTTACGAGGCGTTCATAATTTTAGTTGCCTTTCAATAAAGAACCGAGTTCCCCCCTGATAATAACTTTCCCATCCGATTCCAGGCCGCGATTCGGATATTAGTGACACGGAGTCTGAGCCTGGGATTCCGCTGAAACGCAAGCAGCGACGTTCCCGCACCACCTTCACCGCTGAGCAACTGGAGGCCCTGGAAAGGGCCTTTGCTCGCACGCAGTATCCGGACGTTTACACCAGGGAGGAGCTGGCCCAAACCACAGCCCTGACTGAGGCCCGCATCCAAGTCTGGTTCTCCAATCGAAGGGCTCGTCTGCGCAAGCATTCTGGCGGATCAAGTTCCGGTCTTTCGCCAATGAACAGTGGCAGTGCCAGTGTGGGAGTTGGAGTTGGAGTGGGTGTTGGTCCTAGCGGAGCTACGGCTCCCCTCGGTTTCGGTCCTCTCGGCGTTGGCTCAATGGCCGGCTACAGTCCGGCTGCAGGGACCACCGCCAATGGGGCAAGCCTTAACGATGGGGTTCATCATTCCGCTCATGCCCCAAGCTCACACCACAGTGCAGCAGCTGCAGCGGCGGCGGCGCATCATCACACGCAAATGGGTGGCTACGACCTGGTCCAAAGTGCGGCCCAGCACGGATTCCCTGGAGGTTTTGCACAGCCCGGACACTTTGCCAGTCAAAACTACTATCACCAAGGTACATGGACAGAACAAATGTTTATCTAACGACCCTTTATAAACCAAGACTTTCCTATCTTTCAATGTCTTTCCAATGCAGACTACTCCAAGCTGTCCATCGATGACTTCTCCAAGCTAACCGCCGATAGCGTATCAAAGATCTCGCCTTCCTTGCACTTAAGCGACAACTACTCGAAGCTGGAATCGCCCTCGAATTGGTCGCAGGCCGCATACCATCTCAACCAGTCGGCTGTGGCGGCAGCCAACTATAATGCCCACGTGGCCCAACACCAGCTCAACGATTATGCCGCAGCAGCGGCGCATGGGAATGCAGCAGCGGCCGCTGCATACAATCACCCGTTGCCGGCGCAGGGTCAGGCCAAGTACTGGTCATGAGTTAATGGATCCGCCGGTGACGACACTCCGACGAACCGAACCCCATTCGACTCCGACTTTCGTGTCAGTTTTATGCATTTCAATTATCAGAGGCAGAGGCACATGTAAGCGTTAGACAACTATTTATACAATGCACCGTGAACGTGAATATGGAAAATATTGGCTTGGCTATAATTTAGGATTAGTCCGCTTACTACATGTGAATTACATGGCTTTTAGAGGCGCATTAAGGCTGGTAACGTGTTTCTATTTAAGCAGTCTATACACATAGATATACATATTTATTTTTATACTCTAAACGTGACGCGATATTGTTCAACATAAACAAAAGCATAAAAATTAAAAAATATATTTTTAATAAATGACATAGAAGTGAATTTACAAATGGTATGCATGGAGGGTATTTTTAATTGACAATTCACAAGTTATGGATACCTACCCATTCAAGGACGATTCCCGCATCGTCTGGCCTGTTGAATCCTCCCATTCAGATAGGACACAGTTCTGGATCATTAGTGTAGGATCAAACCAGTAATATGTATATATATTTATTAGATTGGTATTTCATATACGTATATATATATATATTGTGTATATAACTTTGATATTTTAATGCTACGCGTACTTCCACCAGAGCGAACTCTCTGCTTCCGTGGATATTTTACATACATATAATATATAAACGAAGTAAATAGTACTTGATAATTTAAATACAGTTTTTCGAACCTTCTGAATTTGGAATATTTTGAGTTGAAACATATATGTTAATTATTGACAACATCAGACTTATAATTACGCACAGTGAATATGTTTTTTTTTTTTTTTTCAGGGACCTTTTCAAATAAAATACTCGAAATATTTGAAAAAGTTCATCGTTTTATTGTCAATATCATTATTTTTTATTGTACGAAGTACATATATGTATTATGTATTTGTTTACGTGTATATTGATATAATTATATAAGATATTCACCGAAGTTTTATTGTCGTTAAGCAGTTTTCCCATATATATTGTTTTTAGTAAGGGAATCGTTATTGTCATATACACATCAAATACTGACGGGGGAGAGAGAAATTCAAATGGAATACATCTAAAGGGTATCCTCAGGTAAGGGGTATATTAGATTGATCGATCCAGTTAGATTGAGACTCTAGCACCTCCTGCTAAGGTACGACATTGGCACTAATTTAATATTCTTCTTCAAGTGTATAAATCATAAATGGCGATATGATTTGCATTGATATTAAACGTTCTTTCGCTTTGCACTGATATCAGTTACTTCAGTTTTGTAGATATTATTCATACATCGATACAGATACAACGTACTGATGACTGGGGCACCCACAACTACACCTCGCGGCGGTAGTTGTGTGTGCCTGCCAAGTAGGTGGATTAATTTTGGGGAGCTACATTAGATCTGTAGAGTTTAAAGTTCCATTAACATTAACAGTATTATTGTAATCGATATAGCGTAATTTGTATAGAGAGTATATTGTCGATATTTAGTATTCGTAATTGTCCATGTTGCGTCGAAATTCGCGTCGATGCAGTGCTGTAATGCGCGGCGGAGTGCCCCAGGAGTGGAAGGGAGGATACACGGTAGCACCAGACCGAGAAAGTGGGCGTTTGAGGCTCCTCGTTGATCCCGTGGGCAGCGAGTTGCTGGAGGTGCTTCGCATGTAGGCAGAAAAGGCGCTGGGAGACGGAGACTCGCCCTCAAATTGTTGGGGAAAACGACCGCGTATGCCAGCACCGCTCCAATTCATCGTCGGTTGATTGGGTAGGAAACAGCGTTTACAAACGGCTGCGGGTTGACGCAGTCGCTCGTGTTGGGGGTAGTACGCGACCTGCATGGGGCGAAGATTTCAATTAGTCTTATCCCTTATCCCATTAATCATCAAACCGAACGGCTATCACAGGTCTACAGATGTACAATAAAGAAAAGTGCACTAATAGACTCAATGTGAAAATTGTAGACATGTCTCATACAAGCTCCACTACAAGAAGAAGGGTACGAAGAATGGGTTCTTATCTAGTTAAAGAAACAAACTAAGCAAAAGATATGTGAATGATGAAGTCAGTCATGCCAATTAGCCGTAGCATGCCAATTAAGAGTAAAGATTTAAATAATTTAATTAAGTTAATAACCAAAACAGTTTTTTAGTGAATTTATATACAAATGAAAAGGAATATGAATACAAATACGAATCGCGATCGCCAGAATTGATCAAATAGATTTCTTACGATCAGCGAATACAAAAAACAGAGATGGGTATGGCGGGAAATTTCAAATTTAAAAAAAGCGGTGGAGACGCAGGCGCCACCTATTGGTAGTGTCTATTGTGCTGAGATTCGTAGCATACTTTTGGGAATATATATAAAAATCAAGTAGCAAAGTGGGCGCGATGTTCAAATGTGTTGTTGTTACTGTTGAAAAATACCCTTGCTCCTTGGAAGCTTTATTCCGGCATAACCATCCCAAGCGGTGAAGCGCAAGCGGTAAACATTTCAACGTTGCCATGAAAATACCATAAACCAGTGCAATATTAACTTTTACATTTTCATTCCACCAACAACGACAGCACTCGAACTAAAGCGCTTAAGGCCCAGGCTTTGTGCAACTGAAAACTTTTCATCTGACAAACATCTGAAAGTGCAGGCTGCCGAAATTAAGGAGGATGAAGCGTAAGCCAACAACGAGACAATGTGCCGGAAATTAGCCGGCTATCCTTAACACCCAATGAAACCATGGCAAGGACGTCAGAAGCAGAAAATAGAATTTCCGAGAAATAAGTTAAAATGCGAACGGAAATGAGTCCATAATCAAGTGAAAAGTGTAGGAAAAACACTCCTTGGGGTTTATTCTTCCTGTTTTAAAGAGCACAAATAAATCTTTGAACAATTTTCAACTTCGACAGTAAATCTATAAGATGCAACGTGTACTAGGCGATCGATGTCTATCATGCTCAATACAAACGTGGACATAATCAAGATACATTCACTACCAGTGACTAGTAGCCAGTAGCCGGGCGATAGAACGCAGATGAGGGGTCTGTGGCAGGCAAGTGCTATACCGCTCGTGAAACATAATACAACCAGTTTCTCAGGTCATTCTAGTTACCAAAAAACATTAAGATGCAAGGCAATCACATTCATGACAAGGAAATGAATTATAAATAAATAAAATACACTTAAGGACCACACATCGAACCATCGAACGCCATTTACTCATACAAATTGCCTGGCGTCACGTCCTGATCGACTAAAGCGCCCGCCACCGCCTCCAGTGGTACTGCGAAGGTATCGGTAGCTGGGCAGAAAGCCCGAGCGGTACACGGCCCCAATGTGACGCTTCTGCGGCGATGTCGATTGCTCATTCCCTGGCTCCGTGTCCGGCTCCTCGGCATCGGCATCCGCATCTGCAGCTGCAACAGCGACAGCGTCATTGAGCTCAGCATCATTGCCATGCTCAATGCCGAACAACTCGGGATCCTTGGAAGTGTCTTTTATGGAATAATATATATAAACGTATGTACAAAAACTGTGCTAATAAGGTGCCGGATAGCAGCTAGCTAGGGTGCAAGGTAAAGGTGCTGATTGCATAAACAAAAATTCGAGAAAACAAGTCAAAGGAGTGGCATCCCCGGCTATCCGAGGTCGATATCGATATCGGTCTGTGAAATACGTCTTCCGGTTAGACTGAATATAAAATAAGCTGCAATGTTGGACCAATTGCAGGTACCCTGCGTGACTCAGGCCCCTTGTTGGCATACCACAAGACGGCCGCGCACTTACCTAGGAAACGTTTCTCGGCCCGACGGTAATCGTTCCAGTCGAGATCGGCGTACCCGGCATAGCTTGGATACCACCAATAGCTCTGCATGGGATCGGCATAGTCGGGGGCGGCAGCGGGCAGCATCATCTCCTCGTCCTCGCGCTTCTGTTGCACACCATGCACCGGCGATGATTTAAGAGCCCCCAAGTTCCGTTTCTCGGCTCCAGCGCGCTGATTGTGGTGCTGCTGCGAGTTGTAGCGGGCGACTGCAGCCACATTCCGCTTCGGCTGCTCCCGGTGGGTACTGGGAGCACTCTGAAGACGCGCCACCATGGCCAGGTTGCGTTTGCCATTGGGCATGGGGAGCTGAAAGTCGCGGGCCAGGGTTCCTACATTTCGCTTGCCGTAGGTCATAAATCCGCCAGCTCTGGCCAGGCTACCAATGTATCGCTTCTGCTCGCTCGGCTCAGCGGAGTCTGCATCGGCGTAATCCTCGCCCGGCTCCGCGGTTGGCAGCTGTCCGTTCTTGGCCAGGGTGGCCAGGCTTCTCTTGGGGGCGTTCAGGAGTCCTTGTGCGGCCAAGGCGGCCACTGAGCGCTTGTCCTCCTCCATGTAGTCCGAGTACTCACCCAGGGGCTGCTCCTCTCCCACGGCCAGCTGGCGCTCACGGAGCAGGTTCTTCAGCTGATTACGCAAGGCGGAGGCCTACGGAAAGGTGGAAGATGGCGAAAAGCAATTTAAACTCAAAGCCCGTGCAGCTGTTGCTCTGCACTGGCGTAAATAAATCCTTTCACGTCACAGGCAAATACGAGCTGGGACAGGTGACTTACGTGTAGCTGATACTCGGGGCTGGGGTTCATCAATTGACTTATTATGGACTCCATCTCGCAGGGCGACACATTTGCAACATCATCAGTGGCACTCACGGCAAACGAGCGCGGCTGAAAGGCCTAAAGGTAACAGAACAGAATTGATGAGAAAATTAGTAGGCACTTTAACATTTACATCATCCCCCAGATCAACAAATGGTTTTCGCCTTAAACACTTCTTCCGGTTTGGATTTAAAGCAGTCCATTACATAGTCTACTGTTTTCCACTTAATCGCAGCAATTATTTGCGCTAAATTGAGTTTGAAATCGTGTGTGGATGCTGCTCGCATTGTCCTCTCGACTTCTCAGCTCACAATTCGAGACTCTATCGGAATTGTGAGACATTCTCGGAATTACCTACTTTTCTCTTCAAGAAAAGGATCTCTTAAGCTTTTATTAGTTGTCTACTTTGGGGCGCCATTGGGGAATGAGCAACAGGCAATCGAAAGCCTCTCATCGGCTTGTCACATTGCCTTTAATGCCTTTCCGCACATCTAGTAGGAAAGTGGAAAGTGTCTAATCTGGAGGGCACAAAGCTTGTATGCCTCTGTGAGTGCGTCTGTGAACATCTAAGCCAAGTTCATAATACGTATTTTTCTTTGCAAGTACACAAGACAAGCGAAGACACGTCGAAACAGTTTGTTGGGCAAATGGTCGTTCATGTGAAAGGATAACTCCCA